GTCCCTGTCACCTCCTGGGGGTCCTGGAACCTCGGAACTCACACCCCCTGCCCCATTTTTGTACTTTTTTGTGCCTTTTTCTACAATTTCTGCCATTAAAAGTTTTGGGTTCACCTTTGTGCTGTGAGTGGGATGTGCTGAGGGGGGTGGGGGTCCTGAACTTGTGGGGTGGAGATGGGGAGGGGGTCCCTGATCTGTGGGGTGGGGTTGTTGGGGTCAATCGGCTGTGGGGAGCCCTGTCCTGATCCCCTAAACCTGCCCTGGACCCCCTAAACCTGCCTGAACCCCCTGAACCTGCCAAGGACCCCTAAACCTGCCCTGGATCCCTAAACCTGCCCTAAATCCTCTGACCCCTAAACCTGCCCTGGACCCCTGCCCTGACCCCCTAAACCTGCCAAGGACCCCTAAACCTGTCCTGGACCCCCTAAACCTGACCTGGACCCCTAAACCTACCCTGGACCCTGTCCTGACCCCCTTAACCCCACCTGGACCCCTGCCCTGACCCCTTAAACCTGCCCTAAATCCTCTGACCCCTAAACCTGCCCTGGACCCCTGCCCTGACCCCCTAAACCTGCCAAGGACCCCTAAACCTGCCAGGACCCCCTAAACCTGACCTGGACCCCTGCCCTAAATCCTCTGACCCCCTAAACCTGTCCTGACCCCCTAAACCTGCCCTGGACCCCTGCCCTAAATCCTCTGAACCCCTAAACCTGTCCTGAACCCCTAAATCTGCCCTGGACCTCCACCCTGAACCCCTAAACCTGTCCTGGACCCCTAAACCTGCCCTGATCCCCTAAACCTGTCCTGGACCCCTGTCCTAAATCCTCTGACCCCCTAAACCTGCCCTGAACCCCTAAACCTGCCCTGACCCTGTCCTGACCCCTAAACCTGCCCTGGACCCTCTGACCCTGTCCTGACCCCCTAAACCTGTCCCATCCCCATCCCGGGGGTCCCATCCCCATCCCGGGGGTCCCCACCCCAATCCCGGGGGTCCCAACCCCAATCCCGGGGGTCCCACCCCAATCCCGGGGGTCTCACCCCAATTTCGGGGGTCCCCACCCCAATCCCGGGGGTCCCCACCCCAATTTCGGGGGTCCCAACCCCAATCCCGGGGGTCCCCAATCCCAATTTTGGGGGTCCCAACCCCAATTTCGGGGGTCCCCCCCCAATCCCGGGGGTCCCTTCGCACCCACGGGTGGGGCCCGAACAGAACCCGGAACTCCAGAACGC